ATTTATTTATTATAAAAACTGGTTGTGAATTGTTGTGTTTACAAATTTCACAAAATCACAAGCAACAGGGGCATTATGTCATGGCACACTTTTAATGTTTATTCATCAAACCGTAACTTTATTTTTCCACCCACAAAAAAAGTCCTAATCAAAGCAGCCCAATGACAATCTGATGTCAGACAGAAATGATGTTAAACAACACCTGTCAACTCAGCCATCCCAATTTACACTACTTGCGTTCCGTCTCAGCTCCGCTCCAGTGTTTACACTGGCTGCGCAGGGCGGCGGTGAGCGGACGACGATCCGTCAAAATTAGAACAGATCCTATTTCTGCCGGATGCCGGAGCTGTGCCGGAGTAACTTTTTAAAGATTATGTCGCACCAACAGGAAAATAAACGAGCACAACATCCGTATTTTCAAAATAAGACACTTTTAGGCTGGATAAATTGTCGGAATAATGTCAAAATTGCGGCTATATTAATAAATATACAGATATATTTCTACACAAATGCTGTCAGAATGTATRGTTCAGTTTGGGAAGCAGATGGAAACATGTAGCATGAAGCTATGTGTACACACGATACACGTGGATTTTATTTTGAAATCAGAAGTTTCAGAAAGCCGACAGCGAGACAGTTTCAACATAGATACCAAAAGCCTTTATATCGTTGTTTTCAGCTGTGTTTGGAGTTCGTCTTTCACAGGATTAATTATTTTTTGCTGTGACTTCCACACTTATCACTGAATTTATCACGCAATCTCCTTCCTGTACGTCTGTTGGACCGGAGCAGAGTGGAGGTAGTGTCAACTGGACTTGAAACAGACAGCTGCGACCTGCGCAGCGGAGCGGAGCCYTAACGCATGTAATGTAAATTAGGGGTCATGATGAAMTGGATCATTTCATGCTGTGACATCAAGCCGCTCTTTATATGTTTCGCCACAAGATGGCGCGAAAGAGGACTGTGTTCAAAAAGCTTTGAGAAACAAAACTTTATTTTTTTTTCCAAAACAAGCTTCAGCGCTTCAGAAAAGCAAATAAAAATTAAAAATAAAATTCTGTAAGCTGATGCGTCTCACCCTTTCCTGCGTTGCTCCGCCTGCTCCCTGAGCCTCTGCTGGCCCTGCTCATCCTCCGCAGTGATAAAGTCTCTGTTGTTGTCAATCAAGAGATTCTACACAACAAAACAAAACATTAAGAACTGATTTAGAACACTGCAATAGAAACCAGACAAGAGGAAATAACAAGAACTATAAATACCTTGATGCCAACCACATCACCATCTTTGAAGTGGAACGGTGGTCCTAAAAGTGATTCTGCCTTTTTCTTCTTCCTCTTTTTGGAAACCTGCTGGGTCTGATAGTACAATACACAGAATACATTTGATTACCTGGTAACAATAATTACCTTAGAATGCAGCAACTCTCCTCTTGTGTTCAACATATTCTTAAAGTTACCCAGTTGGAGATTTCTTCCCATGTGTGTCTTTCTGGATGGTGTTTGGCCAGCAGCAGAGAATCAGGTGAGAGGCCATAGTGTGCAGCCAGACAGGTGCGCAGTGAACGAGGAGAGGAATCATGGGACGCATCCCAAACCAGCTCCTCTACAGGGTAGAAACACCTCTCCCCTGGAACACCCATCTTAACATTCAGCACTACTTGCTTAGGACTTGGGAAAAAAAGAAGAACAAAAACTGTGATTTTATACATAAAACAAAAACAAAACAAAACCCGACTGTTGTGCTATAAAACTTACCCAAGATCTTCCTCCTTCAGTAGTTGCTGCACACAGATGTCGGCACCACTGGTCAGCTTCAACTTCCTGAGCCAAAGGAAAACAAAAGTTTCTGTGRGAATAAAAGCAGCTGCCATCAACGTAAGACAAATATTTGTCAAGAAAAAACAAAACACAACATTAAGACCTGAGTGCGGTTCGCTGTCCTCTGAGAATACGAGCCAGCCTCCATCCCTCCATCTGCCACACACGAAGAAACCCACAGGCTGGTACAAACAGATCCTGAAGTGTCGGCAGCGTCAAGATCTGACAGAGAGCAAACCACAGTCAAATAATACGAATATTTGTTCTACMTTGTTTTCAAAATCAGAATGCTGTGAACCCACACTGAGCAAATTATGACATAAAATATAATATAAATGATGCTATCACCATARATATGTATTAGCTCAGCGCTACACATTCTCCTCTCATCACTGAGGTCCTCCATCCACATGACAGAGAGGGGAACACAAAAATGACTCAGTCTGCAACTGAAAATATGGATGGAGGACCTCAGTTTAGCTTGTTTGTCGCACTGAGCTAATACATATAAGGCAATATAGCGTTGGTGCTAGCACAAAGACTAACAGGCTAAGCTGAGGTTCTTCTTCCATGAAGCAGCTCTGTTGTCCTCCATCCATATTTTCAGTTACAGACCGAGTCATTTCTACCTTCTCTCTGTCAACGCTCTCTGGTTTCATTTAAAAGAGTCGATCATCAGATATTGTCCAAGATTAACCTTCAGGATGGATATAGCTCACTAGCAGCCTCGCACCAAGGACCTATCCACGTCATCATTTARCCAGAATGCTTTGTGTGTAAATAAAATGGCTCCATCCGTGTTAAAATATATTTTTAAAAATTATAAAAACTAAACAACCTACAGTATTTTTACAGTCTTTATTTTACAGTTAAAATAAATGATTATAAAATAAAGTCTAATGTTACAGCTAATCAGGGATCCCTTTAAAAAAACAAAATTTCCCATTTRGATACATATTTTTTTCTCCTTTTAATTTAATATTGTGCCTAACAATAACTAATCAGTGGATGTTCTTTGCATTTATATTTTACAAAAAAAATCAAAGTGTTTTCTGACAGGTTTTCATTTATTATTGTCTAAAACAGTTAAACTGACTGTGTGGATTCAGACAGAATCCAGAACTGCACCTGAGTTTTGAGCTCCTCCAGAGTGGCTTCATCTGATATCTCGACCTGGCCCAGGTTTCTCAGCTTCGTGGTGTTTCCACCGCAGAGAGGAGGTGACTGAGTGTGTGTTTCATCTGTAGGGCCCCCTGCAGGACGGTCATCTGTCAGATTAAAATCTGTTTCCAGATGTCTTGGATCCACAAACGACCAGACAGAGAGCTTCAGAAAGCCCTGAGAGAGGAAACAAATAAAAGGGCTGAAGTCACAAGATGGGAGCTAAGAAACAATATTATGATTGTAGAATGTCCTGAAAAGGTACCTTTGGAGGCAAAAGTCCCTCTGTAACAACTAATGTCTCTCCACTGGTAATCTTCAGCTCAGACAGAGACACATCCTGAGAATAAAAGCTTTGTTGTTAACATGCAGCCACAAAGCTTCACAAGTAGTAACATATATTTTTGCACACCATAAAGTCAGAAAATACAACTTAAAGTGATGTAATTTGACTGGATCGGTTTTCTCTGTTGAAGAAATGTTTAACTTTTATTATCCAACCACATAATTCAAACTAAACATTTAACTTAAGTCATCATGAGAGTTAAAAACATGTATGACTTTTGGTTCATATGCTCAGCCCTGCTGATATACAAAATGATCAAATCAAAGTAAATAGATTTTGGGAGACACTAAATGGATTTGTATCACTGGGGTCCCAATACCAGTTTTTCTCAAAGCGATTACAAATAAAGAGTACTTCAGTGTGGGTACTAGCCAATCCTGATTACTGATACAGAGTGTTTACTGAGTTAGAACCTAAACATTACATGATAACTTTAAAAACATTTATTTTATTTAGAACAGTGTCTCTCTTTTTCCTTACAGGCCTACAGCCCCTCTGACTGGAACAAATCAAACATACAGCATAATATATAC